CTTTTGGCGCTGGAGCTGGAGGTTCTGGAGCTGGAGGTGCTACTGGAGCCGGTGCTCCTGGAGCTGCTGGAGTTGGCGGTGCTGGTGCTGCTGGAGGTGCTACTGGAGCTGGTGGTGCTGCTGGAGTCGGAGCTGACACTGGGGGTGCTGGTGCTGTCCCTGCTGGCTCTGGAGGCGCTGCGCGGCCTCGGCCGTACTTCGTTCCCCTCCTTGAGCAGGTTCTTGGCCTTCCGCCTTCTTCTGGTCCTTCTCCTGCCTTAGAGTGTCCACCGTCCGTCCCGTCCGAGTCACAGTTACAGCTGGCCTGTCCACTTCCTGCCCCTTCTCCCTACACTGGTCCTACTGGAGGTCTTGCTGAGCGTCGTGCGCCTGCGTCTCGCCCTGCGTCGCCTGTTCGTGCTGTTCGCGCTAGTCGTCGTGTTCCGCGTCAGCGTCCTCCTGCGGTCCCGGGCACGCATCAGATGGCACTGCGTCCTTCCACTGCTCCGCAGCGTGTCCCTTTGCCGTCTCCTCATGAGTCCTCTCTTCCTGCTCTTGCTGACCCGGCGTCTGACTCCCTTCGTGCTGCCAGTCCTACTGTCACGCGTCTCCTGGCTACTGTTGTCACTGACCCTTCCTTTGAGTCCACTGCTGCGTCTGCCTTAGTTGCTGAGCTTGTCGACTTCGCTGCTCACTGTCGTCTAGACTACGCCGCGAGTCTTGTTGCTGAGTCTGAGTCTGTCTGTCCTCCGTCCGTCGGGGGTGAGTGTGCTCTTAGAACGGACGTCCTTGAGGACAGGCAGGAGGAGTTCCAGTGTTTTGCTGCTGCTTTGCCTCATCTCGTGTCCATGCTGATTGCCCCTGAGGGAGACCCGGATGCACCAGACATCCCGACTCCTCGATCGTACGCTTAGGCGATCGAGGGTCCCTACTCCTCACAGTGGCAGTCAGCTATGGACGCAGAGATGGCTTCCTGGAAGTCCACAGGCACCTACGTCGACAAGGTTCCCCCACCTGGGGCGAACATCGTCAGTGGCATGTGGATTTTCAGGGTGAAGCGGCCGCCGGGTTCTCCGCCTGTCTTCAAGGCGCGTTACGTGGCTCGAGGCTTCAGTCAACGGCAGGGAGTTGACTACTTTCAGACCTTCTCTCCCACCCCGAAGATGACCACTCTTCGGGTGCTGCTGCACATAGCCGATCAGCGTGACTACGAGCTTCACTCTCTTGACTTCAGCACAACTTTCTTGCAGGGCAGCCTGCACGAGGAGATCTGGCTGCGCCGCCCACCTGGCTTCACTGGGTCGTTTCCTCCTGGTACCCAGTGGAGCCTCCGGCGGCCAGTCTACAGTCTCCGCCAGGCGCCCCGTGAGTGGCACGACAGACTGAGGACTACACTTGCGGCTCTTGGGTTTGCTCCTTCTACTGCCGACCTGTCGCTGTTTCTGCGCACCGACACCTCTTTGCCGCCGTTCTACATCCTCGTGTACGTCGATGACTTGGTCTTTGCCACTGCTGACACTGCTGGACTCGCCCACGTGAAGTCCGAGCTGCAGAAGAGACACACGTGCACAGACCTGGGTGAACTGCGCAGCTACCTTGGCTTGCAGATCACCCGGGACAGAGCACAGCGCACCATTACCCTGACTCAGTCACACATGGTGCAGCAGGTCCTTCAGCGCTTCGACTTCACGTACTCCTCGCCTCAGGCCACTCCTCTGTCTACTCGCCACTCGCTCTCAGCTCTGCCTTCGGATGAGTCCGTAGAGCCGAGTGGCCCGTACCCAGAGCTTGTTGGCTGCCTCATGTACATGATGATCTGCACACGACCTGACCTTGCATACCCTCTTAGCATCCTGGCACGCTATGTTGCTCCTGGGAGACACCGACCAGAGCACATGGCTGCAGCGAAGAGGGTGTTGCGCTACTTGTGCAGTACGTTGGGCATGGGGCTAGTGCTTGGAGGGCGGCGTTCAGTGGTCCTCACAGGTCACGCATACGCTTCTTGGGCTGACGACCAGGCTACGCAGCGGTCGTCACAGGGTTACACCTTCAGCCTTGGTTCTGGCTCTGTTTCGTGGCGGTCTACCCGCTCGTCTTCTGTTCTCGGCTCCAGCTGTGAGGCTGAGATCTACGCGGGGGCCATGGCTGCACAGGAGCTACGCTGGCTCACCTACCTGCTGACTGACCTAGGAGAGCCGCCTCGTTCTCCTCCAGTTCTGTACGTAGACAACAAGGCCATGTTGGCCTTGTGTCGGGAGCACAGACTGGAGCACAGAACCAAGCACATTGCTCTTCGCTACTTCCTTGCTCGTGAGCTACAGCAGCGTGGTCAGCTGCGCCTTGCTTACGTGGCCTCTTAGGCCAACACTGCTGATATCTTTACCAAGGCACTTCAGCCTTGTGATCATCAGCGCTTTTGTACGATGCTAGGTCTTGTGCCTACTTTGCCTCACTTGCTTACTTCTTGACCTTGCTTGTACTGTGTTCTATATATACCTGCACTTGCTTGTTTACCTTTATATATATGATCCTGCATGTGAACTGGCCTTGTGGCCTTGAACCTGTGCTCGGAATGTGTGGTGACGTTGTGATCCACCCTGAGCTTTCTTTGCTTTGCTTGACATGGTATCAGAGCGTAGGTCTCGGGTTCGAATCCCGGTGTGTGCACTTCGGGCATCCCAGTGCGGGGGGGTGTCAGAGGTCCACTGGTGATCCCCGATTGATCCTAGGGAAGGGTTACAGGCTCGTTGTCCTGGGGGGTTATGGGCGCACTGACCCGCTACTTAACAAGCCCTTTTATCCCAATGGTCTAGTGGTTGGGATTCTGACAAGGCTGACCAGTCCGGACACCCGTGCTAATAACGTACGGGCAGCGAGCAGTACTCAGCGACCCTCTACTCTGAGCGTACCACTCACGAAGCTGCTGGGGCGAAAGAGTCTCGCGCGGACGACGCTGCTGCTACACAGGGCCACTACAAGAAGCTCCCGAACTACCCACTCCAGGACGACTCCCACTACTGCCACCCCGACAACCCCAACTGGCGTACCACTGACGAAGCTGCTGGGGCGTGAGGGACACACGTGGACGGCCCTGGAGCTGCATCTGGCCACGCCAGGAGCAGTAGTAGAAGCAGGAGCAGCAGGAGCAGCAGTAGCAGTAGCAGCAGGGGCAGGGCAGTGCTCACCAGTGGTGGGAAGGGCAGGCGCACGACGGAGGCGACTGCGGGGCCGCTACAGCGGCAGGGCGAGGCCGCGACAGCGGCAGGAAGCTCCGCGGCAGTTGGTGCAGGGCGGGACCGGGCCGCGGCTGGTGCAGGGCAGGGACAGGGCCGCGACGGTCGCTGCTGCAGGGGCGGCTGCTCCAGGGGCCAGGGGCAGCTCCTGCAGTGGCGGCTGCTCCAGTGGCCAGGGGGGGCTGCTGCAGGGGCGGCCGCTCCAGGGGCCAGGGGCGGCTGCAGGTGCGGCTGCTCCAGGGGCCAGGGGTGGCTGCTGCAGTGGCGGCTGCTCCAGGGGTCAGGGGCGGCTGCTGCAGGGGCGGCTGCTCCAGGGGCGGCTGCTCCAGGGGCCAGGGGCGGCTCCTGCAGTGGCGGCTGCTCCAGTGGCCAGGGGCGCTGCTGCAGGGGCGGCCGCTCCAGTGGTCAGGGGGGGCTGCTGCAGGGGCGACCGCTCCAGGGGCCAGGGGCGGCTGCTGCAGTGGCGGCTGCTCTAGAGGCGGCTGCTCCAGGGGCGGCTGCTGCAGGGGCGGCTGCTCCAGGGGCGGCTGCTCCAGGGGCCCGGCGCGGAGTAGGGCAGGGCGATGCGGCGGGCAGGGGCGACGCCGCGGGCAGGGGCGACGCGGCGAGCAGGGCGACGCGGCGGGCAGGGGCGACGCCGCGGGCAGGGGCGACGCGGCGAGCAGGGCGACGCGGCGGGCAGGGGCGACGCCGCGGGCAGGGGCGACGCGGCGAGCAGGGCGACGCGGCGGGCAGGGGCGACGCCGCGTCAGCAGCTGGGCGCGGCCGCGTCAGTAGTAGGGCGCGGCCGTGTCAGCAGGAGGGCGCGGCCGCGTCAGCTGCAGGGCTGGCGGGGCCTCGTCAGCTGCAGGGCTGGCGGGGCCGCGTCACGGAAGGGCGGGGCCTCGTCACGGCAAGGCGGGGCCGCGACTGCGGCCTGACGGGGCCGCGACTGCGGCCTGACGGGGCCGCGACTACGACCTGACGGGGTCGCGTGCTGGCCTGACGGGCCTGCAGAGGCTGCGTTCGGGCGGCGAGGGCCTGCAGGGGCGGCGCGCGGTCGGGCAGAAGCTGCGCGCGGGCGGCATGGTCCTGCAGGGGCAGCGCGCCGACCTGACGGGCCTGCAGGGGCGGCTCTCGGGCCTGACGGGCCTGCAGAGGCGGCTCAGGGGCCTGACGGGCCTGCAGAGGCGGCTCGGGGTCCTGACGGACCTGCAGGGGCGGCTCGAGGGCCCTACTAGCTTGCAGGGGCGGCGCACTGGCCTAGGGCAGCAGGAGGCAGCGCGAGGGCTGCAGGACAGAGCGCAGGCAGAACGAAGGGCGGGGCGCGCGAGGGCGCACTAGCAGAAAAAGGGGCGCACGAGGGCGCACGAGCAGAGAAAGGCGCACAAGGGCGCACGTAAGGTAGGGCGCACGAGGGCGCTTCTAGCGGAATAGTGGGCCCGTAGTAGTAAGCGGTCCTAGGTGGCAACCTAGGCTCGTGATACCATGTCCGAATGAACAAGAGTGATTGCACTAGGAAAGAGTTGGGTACAAGTAGGAAACCCTAAACTTATTGTACCCCATAGTAACTACCCCACTACAGCCTAAACAAACTGTTGCAGATATAACATTTGACACCCGCAAATCAAAACCTGCCATAACAGTGGGCACGAATGTGCAGGTTTAATAAGCGACATTAGATTTGTGGCAACCAGATTTAACAATGATAAAATCAAACAAAATCGTAACACCCCAGGAAACAAATTTCAAGTAATAAAAATACATGGCAGTTGGTTGTTGAACAGAACCGCGTTCTCCCGAAGCCAGCTAGCACATTGTCGCGCACGTGTGTCCGTGTTTGGTGGCCACTTTGAACAGCTTCGTGCCGCCCAGGCGCCTCAGATCTCGCATGCAGTGCTTCAGATTGTACACGACCTCCTGGGAGAAGGCCTTGCACAGCTTCACGCAATCAGCCACGGTGCCGCCGTACTTGTGCCCAGGGATGCGCTCCTCGCTGAGCTTGATGACATGCCGGGCAACACGGCCGTCCGCGTCCACCCCTTCGACTGTTATTTTCTTGACATTGTCCTTGAGCCGTGCCAGGAATGGCGACAGGTGGTTGCTCATGCCCGCCCCGAACGTGCGGTCGTAGTCGATGTATCTGTGCTCTATGTACGACACCACGCGGTCCACCTCCTCCGAAACTTGGGTCACTTCCACCTGTTTGGAGCCGTGGAAGAAAAACAAACTTGTAGTTAGTGATTGTTGAAAAAAATAGTTAAACAAACTTAAAGAATATTCAAGCACTTACTTTCCGTCGTTGGAAAAATCGGTTCAGCGAGTTCATCTCCCCGAGGATGTCTGCCAGAAAGTACAGACAGAAGTGGTACTTCAAAGTCAGCACCACTGCCGCGATCTTGTGATTCCACTCCAGTAAGACAACGATCGCCGCCCCCAAGATATTGACCATGCGCAAAACTGCATCACCACTGGAGAGCCACCGCACGTCGTGCAGTCCCTGGTGCTCCAGGTTGGTGCTATGGATCACTTGTTGCAGCTCCTTGAACCTCTCGTGCCAGGGAGTGGATTTTTCCACGATCTCGCCAACCGCCCTGATCGACTTATCCACGATCGCCAAGTCAGGGTATTTCTCCGCCGATTCCTTCACAGCCAGAGCTTCACTGCACGAGTGAGTAGACGAGACACGTGTCAGTAGGTTATAACAAACAGTGTGATAAACGCCGCCAAAATTAGACGAACATTAATTTTCATATAAAATGACGTACCGATGCGCAATGCAGTGAACCCCGACCAGATGGGGGATGCGCAGCCGCAGTCTCGTCACCAGGCCTGACGTGCCACCGATCATCACAGCTGCGCCGTCGGTGGAAATCCCCGCGATCTTCCATAACTCGACGCCAATGCTCTCGAGATGCTGCAGTAGAACTGCGAGCAGCGAGGCAGCATCACACTGCTCGAGAGTCAGTAACGCGAGAAACTCGGTGACGACCACCTGGTTCTTCAGGAAAGTGGCAAACACAATCATGTGTTTGCCACACGCGAGGTCGGTACTCTCGTCGCACATTATGCCGATGAAGGGAGAGGCGTGCAGGTGTCGGAGCTATTCTCTGCTCAGGTACGTGGTCAGAGCTCTGACCATTTCCGCGAAACCGTACCTGACACAAGTTTCCAACAATAAAGGAAAACGTATCAGGATAATTGACATCACGCCGTCCTTTGTTACTAAATACTTCACATGGTGAACTCACTGGGTGATGTATACGCCGTAGGTCTGACGCGGGATGTCAGCGACACCCTCCTCCGCAAGGAACTGGACGATCTGGGGAAACAGGTGGATGGGAGTGTCGGTGCGGCACACAAAACGAATGGCCCGCATGAGGCGCGCGACACGAGAGCCTTCGGGATCGCCATTCGCGAAGTCGGCGATTTTCTTCTGATATGTGATTTTCTTCATCAAATTCGCCTGCTTCTTCATCACGTCATCATGCTTCATGCTGTTCTCGTGCCACCGCATGGAGCCAAGCTGCAGATCACGACCGCCAACGCCATTTCGTTCGTATCGTGCGTTATCCTTCCCGTGCTCCATGCACACACTGCAACGCAGACACGGCTCGCCTTCGGGGGTCTTGTCAAGAATCAACCAATCGAACCTCGGCAGCCATTCCGAGGTGTAATTCTTCTGGGCTTTCAGGTAAGCCTTCTCTCTCTTCTCCACGTCTGAAAGGGGAGGAATGGGGGGTGGTACAGAGGCGGGAGGCGGAGCGGGGGGTTTCGGCGGCGGGGTTCCCCACTGCAGCACTTGCTGCGTCATCCGTCGCTTTTTCGGAGCCATTGATCCCGTCGACTCCGGAGTGGCGGCATCAATGACTTGGGTTGGAACCGTCGCGGCCGGTTCAGCAGGTTCCTCCGTACGCGGCGATGCGACCTATTCCTCAATGCCGTCGGAATCTGCAGTCTCAGGCTCCCCGTGTGGCGAGCGACACCAGAAGTCGATACCGTCAACCTCTTCGCCACCTTCCGGGCGAGGGCGTCGCACCCATTCTATACCGCCGTCACCGTCCTCGTCATCGTCGCGCATGTGCGCCTCATGGACACCACGGAGAAATTGAAGCCCAGTCACTGGACGACTGCTACACGATGGCCTATCATCCGGATCAGGCGCGTCTGAGTCGGCGTCAGTATCCATGGTGCGCGGGGCTGTGCCCGGAAACCCCACTAAGAACAACCACCACGGGTGCGATGGAGTGCTCGTCAATGGAAGGGGAGATAATGGGAAAGAATGTGGGGTTTGGTGCTCACCCCGTCAGCCAGCCGAGCAACAGACCTTTCCCTGCGCGCCGCACCCGAAAGTTGGGTGCTGCAGAAGAACCTGCTGAATGCTGCCTGTAAGGTTGGGTGATGTACATCGTGGTCGGTTTTCAAAATTCCAACCAAGTATACGGTGGGCGGTTCTCAGCGTGCGATGGCTTGAAAGATGCCCTACCAGCCAATCACCGTTCAAGCTGCCCCTAAACACACGCAGAAACCAGAAGGATTTCCGGTGCGGTTCGGGTAAAAACCGGTAAGGTGGGGATAAGGGGGGGAACGGATGTTCGGGGAATACATGTATCCTCTGCACAGAGTAAAACCGGTATCCGTAAAAAAACACTGGGACATCAGAGGGCCTAACAAGACTACTCTGACAAATCAGAGAAAAAGTAACTCTTGCAAAATTTACTCAGAGCTACAGAGTGACCTTGCAAAATCCACCCTGATTTTCAGAGAAACAGAGTGATTTACACTGATAAAAAAAGCCCTACTTGCAGGGCAGGGTGGTTTTCAATAATGGCCAAGGGCACCCAGCTATCATAAGTTGGCGTGCCGTCCTTCCAGCGAACGAGGAACTCGATCCTCTTGATGCATGTGGGGTGTCGAATCCGATGGCTCAGAATCCTTTTGGGCTTAATGATCGGCTCCGATGCAGGGCGAGTCATGGATGGCGGGCGGGGGCGAGGCAGTTGGCTTGTGGTTGGAATGTAAGGGCGAAGCAGGCTGACGTGAAATGATGGGCTGATGTACCAGTCTGTCGGCAATAGTAGATGGGTGGTAACTGGGGTGATCATGTGGCTGATTTGGAACGGTCCATAGTAATGCGGTCGCAATTCCGGTGCGACGGGCAGTCATAAGTTCTGTGTGTCAAGCAGTACGTAATCCCCTGACTGGTACGTGACCGGGTGGCGGTGGCGGTCATCATTTCGTTTTGCAATGACGTTGGTTTTCCAGAAGTTGTTGGAAAAATTTCGTGTCGCGGTCGCTGATTATCGCGGCTGGTATCCCGTGCAGTCGAACGACGGTTGCGATGAACATGCGAGCGGTTTCTTCGGATGAGATCGACTTTTTGCACGCAGCGAAGTGGGTGTTGCGCACAAAGCTGTTGGAGGTCTTCGGCAAGTGGCGATCACCGCCACTATGCGCGAAGATTTCAGAGTGGCTTCACATGGGAAATGACAATTGGCCAGGCAAGCTAGGCGCATGGTGATTTGCGTCGAAAAATGCAACGGCAAGGAGAGACGGCGTCACGATTGCCCAAAGAAAGCAGGGGTCTACCGTAATCCCGCCCGTGTATAACGGCATGTCAGAATATATTTCATATATATTTATGTATAACTGCATGTAGTTCTAACAGTAGTGTAGTGATCCTACTTCTTGTTTGGTGGTGTGCCTCATTTGTGAAAATAGTACGAGGAATGAATGAACTAGGAAACAGGTGGGTACAAATATGCAAACCTAAAAATGTTGTACCCCATATTGTCGACCCCACTACAGCCTACAATATGGTTCTGACACACCCCCATAGGCAAAGTGGGGGACAAACAAGAGAACAAGACAAGGTCAAGCTCAGGGTGGATCACAACGTCACCACATATTCCGAGCACAAGTTCAAGGCCACAAGGCAAGTTCACATGCAGGATTATAAATCAGGGTGAACAAGCAAGACAGTGATCTCAACCTAACAAGGGCAAGCATGCAGGTGCAGGTATATATAGATCACAGTACAAGCAAAGTCAAGAGGTGAGTAAGTGAGGCCCTGCAGGCACAAGACCTAGCATAGTACAGAAACGCTGATGATCACAAGGCTGAAGTGCCTTGGTGAAGATATCAGCAGTGTTGGCCTGAGAGGCCACGTAAACAAGACGAAGCTGACCACGCTGCTGCAACTCTCGAGCAAGGAAGTAGCGCAGAGCAATGTGCTTCGTTCAGTGCTCCAGTCTGTGCTCCTGACACAAGGCCAGCATGGCCTTGTTGTCGACGTACAGAACTGGAGGAGAACGAGGCGCCTCTCCCAAGTCGGTCAGCAGGTAGATGAGCCAGCGTAACTCCTGTGCAGCCATGGCCCCAGCGTAGATCTCAGCCTCACAACTGGAGCTGAGAATAGAGGACGAGCGAGTAGACCGCCATGAGACAGAGCCGGAACCAAGGCTGAAGGTGTAAACCTGTGATGACCGCTGCGTAGCCAAGTCGTCAACCCAAGAAGCGTCTGCGTGACCAGTGAGGACAACTTGAGCCCGTCCTCCAAGCACGAGCCCCATGCCCGACGTACTGCACAAGTAGCGCAACACCCTCTTCGCTGCAACAATGTGCTCTGGTCGGTGTCTCCCAAGAGCAACATAGCGTGCCAAGATGCTAAGAGGGTATGCTAAGTCAAGTCGGGTGCGAGTCATCAGGTACATGAGCCAGCCAACAAGCTCTGGGTACGGGCCACTTGGCTCTACGGACTCATCCGAAGGCAGAGCTGAGAGCGAGTGGCGAGTAGGCAGAGGAGTGGCCTGAGGCGAGGAGTACGTGAAGTCAAAGCGCTGAAGGACCTATTGCACCATGTGTGACTGAGTCAAGGTAATGGTGCGCCGTGCTCTGTCCCGGGTGATCTGCAAGCCAAGATAGCTGCGCAGTTCACCCAGGTCTGTGCACGTGTGTCTCTTCTGCAGCTCCGACTTCACGTGGGCGAGTCCCTCAGTGTCAGCAGTGGCAAAGACCAAGTCGTCGACGTACACGAGGATGTAGTACGGCGGCAGCGAAATGTCGGTGCGCAGAAACAGCGACGGGTCAGCAGTAGAAGGAGCAAACCCAAGAGCCGCAAGCGTAGTCCTCAGTGTGTCGTGCCACTCACGGGGCGCCTGGCGGAGACCGTAGGCTCGCCGCCAGAGGCTCCACTGGGTGCCAGGAGGAAACGACCCAGTGAAGCCAGGTGTGCGGCGCAGCCAGATCTCCTCGTGCAGGCTGCCCTGTAGGAAAGCAGTGCTGAAGTCAAGAGAGTGAAGCTCGTAGTCACGCTGAGCAGCGACGTGCACCAGAACCCGAAGAGTGGTCATCTTCGGGGTCGGGGAGAAGGTCTGGAAGAAGTCAACTCCCTGTCGTTGATTGAAGCCTCGAGCAACGTAACGCGCCTTGAAGACAGGCGGAGAACCCGGCGGCCGCTTCACCCTGAAAATCCACATGCCACTGACGATGTTCGCCCCAGGAGGGGGAACCTCGTCGACGTAGGTGCATGTGGACTTCCAGGATGCCATCTCTGCGTCCATGGCTGACTGCCACTGAGAGGAGTAGGGACCCTCTATCGCCTCTGCGTAAGAGCGCGGGGTCGGGATGTCTGGTGCATCCGGGTCTCCCTCAGGTGCAATCAGCATGGACACGAGATGAGGTACAGCGGCTGCAAAGCACTCAAAGTCCTCCTGCCTGTCCTCAAGGACGGCCGTGCCAAGAGCACACTCACCCCCGACGGACGGAGGACAGACATACTCAGACTCAGCAACAAGACTCGCGGCGTAGTCTAGACGACAGTGAGCAGCAAAGTCGACAAGCTCAGCAACTAAGGCAGACGCAGCAGTGGACTCAAAGAAAGGGTCAGTGACAACAGTGGCCAGGAGACGCGTGACAGTGGGACTAGCAGCACGAAGGGAGTCAGACTCCGGGTCAGCAAGGGCAGGAAGAGAGGACGCAGGAGACGGCAGAGGGACATGCTGCGGAGCAGTGGATGAACGCAGAGCCATCTGGTGCGTGCCAGAGACAGGAGGAGGACGCTGACGCGGACCACGACGACCAGTGCGAGCAGCACAAACAGGCGACGCAGGACGACACTCAGGCTCACGACGCTCAGTAAGACCTCCGGTCGGACCAGTATAAGGAGAAGGAGCAGGCAGTGGGGAGGCGGGCTGTAACTGTGACTGCGAATGGACAGGCGGTGGACACTCTAAGGAAGGAGCAGGACTAGTAGAAGGCGGAAGACCAAGAACATGCTGAAGGAGCGGAACGTAGTACGGCCGCGGCCGCGCAACTTCTCCAGAACCAGCAGGGACAGCACCAACACCCCCAGTGGCAGCACCTCCAACTCCAGCAGCACCACCAGCTTCAGCAGCACCTCCAGCAGCACCAGAAGCGCCAACTCCAGCACCCCCAGGAGCACCGGCTCCAGCAGCACCTCCAGCTCCAGCACCTCCAGCTCCAGCAGGACCACCAGAAGCCCCAGCAGCTCCAGCAGCACCAGGGCCAGCACCTCCAGCAGCACCGGGTCCAGTAGTACCGCCAGCTCCAGCACCTCCAGCAGCTCCAGCCCCAGCAGCTCCAGTACCTCCAGTACGAGCACCTCCGGGACCAGTGGCTCCAGAACCCCCATCAGCTCCAGCAGCAGCAGGACCTCCAGCGGCCGTAGCACCACCAACTCCAGCAGCATGGCTCCAGCGGCGAGCAAACCACTTGCGCAGCTGCTGTGGAGAGAGTGGCTCCCGCCGTGATGAAGCACCCGAAGGACCTCCAGGCGCAGCACCTCCAGACTCCACACGCGCAGGCTCAGCACCC